TTGAAGGTGTGGTTAGCGGCGGGTTTGGCGCCGTTAAGGGTGTGGTCAACAAAAAGGCTGACTTTATTAACGGTGGCGTCAAAGCAGTTACCGGTGCCGTACATAACATGGAGGGCGATATTGGCGGCGCAATTGGCGGTCATTTGGGCGAGAAATACATGGGAAGTATCGGTAAAAAAGTGGGTCAAACTATTGGCAATAAAATGGGCCAAACTATCGGTACGGCAGTCGACGCCCCGATTCGCTACGCAATCACCGGCACTGTTGACGGCGTCAGTGGCCTCGAGGGTAAGGGTTTGGACGCGGCTAAAGGTGTGGTAACCGGAGGTATGAAAAGTGTGTCCGGTTTGGCCACTGGACTGCTCAACAAATTTGGTTCATTTATATAAGTAATTAAATTAAATTGTTTTGTTATTTATAAATTGTTTGTGTTAGTAACCTAGTGTGTTTTAAAATTTAAACAATCTTGCTCAATTATAATTTTTAAAAAATAGAATTATTAATTATTTTTGATATACTGTATGTTAAATAATTAATAAATATTACATAACTGAAAATTTCATCTTTCAAAATTAATTGCCTAATTACTTATCAAATATTAAATTAAAATTACCATGATAATTAAAGCTATAGCTAAAAGGTTAGATTTAGTCATGTATTAAAACCATTCGGTAAAAATTCTACACACGCCAGGTATTAATACAATTATTAGAAAGTACAATATACTTTGTATATTCAATGTATGTTATTAATTCTATATGAATTAACACTGCAATGAAAAATTATTTATTAACTAAATATATATATGCGTATAAAATACAAAGAATCTAATTATGATTATTTTGAATTACACAAATTGCCAGTTGCGCTAGGTGACGTGATTATTTGCAATAGATAAAACAAGTTATCCTTCGATACCTGCATACCCTTTTACACTAATTTTATTATTATGAAGAAACTATAAAATATTATTTATTTAAATATATTCTAATATATTATTGTTTGTTTAATTTACCTTGGTGATAAAACATTGCTTTTTAGAAATATCAATTGAATGGGCTGTTAAATAAATTACACATGGATAATTATAATACTGTGCATAATTGAAAGATTATTATTAATAACTATAATAATTTATTACGTAAACACTGTATGTAAAAATATATCATTTTAATTATTAAAATATTACCAAATATTTTTAAAAATTCATCAAATAATATAAAAAGAAATTATAATTAAGAGATAATATAAAATAAAGTTAAATATAAAGCACAAAAATGCTGAACAAGTTGACTGTATGGGCACTGGTATGCACTCTGGCAGTGGCCGCGCCATTGGGACAGTTGGTCAATAAACGGGGTCTATTGGACAGCATTACCAGCAATGGGGCAGAGGCTGAGCCGCAGATGGGAGAGCAGACCATACCATCCGTCACAACTACAGGTGCCGTTTACGGACTCATTGGCCGACTGTTTAATTGTCTGAAGGGTGTCATTGTTTATAATAGCCCTAATATGTTTGTTTTAACCCTATTCGTTTAGGATACAAGTTAACATGCTAAACCTTTTTATGTTCAAATATTATATTATAATTAATACTGTTTTATTGTGTACATGTAAATGTTTAATTTTAATTTGTATTATTTCACTGCCATGCTTTACAATTATAATAAAATAATTGTGCTGAATGCACATAGAGATGTACAATTTTATTTATGTATGTAAAATTTTATTAAACAAATTGAACAAGGTTATGTTTGCAAATTTTTACAATGTGATTTTAATATACCGAGTTTTAAGGGCTATTTGGTCAGACGGGACGATGTCTACAGTGCCCAAGGTTAATTGATTATTAGAAAGCATATGCTAGTTTAATACTTCATTGATCGTGACAATGAATTATTTTATTTATAAATTATAATATAAAGTTGCATATATGCATATAAAGGTAAATAATCTCATCAAGATTATATTGAATTATATAAATAACCAGTTGCTGTGACAAAATTATTTACAACTGGCACAAATCAATTTAGCAGTAATACATTAGTGTACCTTTTGTTACGTGGTAACTTATAGCATTTACATTAATAATTTTAAAAAACTGTAACTATTGTTTTATTTAAATATATAATAATACATATAATAATATATTTAAATAATTAATACTGGCAATACAGGTAATCACCACATCAATAATAATTTTGTCCATGGTTAGATAATATGGACATTAATACAGTACTAATAATATAAATTTTGTTCCATGAAAACAAAAATGATATTTACTATTAATTATGACATAAAAAGTTTGTGATAAAAAACTAATCAAATAATATTATAACAACGTTTAATTCAAAAAATAATAATTTCTAATTCAATAATAACAACAAAAATGCTAAAACTAATGACAATATGGGCACTGGTATGGGCTCTGGCATTGGCCGCACCATTGGAACAGTTGGCACCCCTTACCGATGTCGCTGACAACCAGACCACTAAAACTAGTAGTACTGAAAATCAAACCGAGACTACAGGGGCTCTGACATTGAACCCTACGGTATCCGTCACCACAACTTCAGGTTCTTTTAGACTACCCTTTGGCGGACCAATTGATAACATGAAGGGTACCACCGGTGCCATAGATAACCAGCACAATAATACTACCAGCGCTAACAAGCCTACGGAGACTACAGGCGCCCCTATCGTACCGATGGGACAGTCGTTGACCGAAAAACGTGGTTTGTTTGATGTGTTTGCCGGCGGTGTGACAGAGACTGAAGGGCCGGTAGTTGATGGTCAAGAAATACCGGTGTTGTCCACCACAACAACGGCAACGATAGTCGTAACCACAACTACGGGCGCCGGTTGGCTGTCGTTTGGCGGTCTGTTGGGCGGCGGTGGCAGCGGTTCCAATAACACCAGTGCCCATATTGTCATTAGTTTTAGCATTTTTGTTGTTATTATTGAATTAGAAATTATTATTTTTTGAATTAAACGTTGTTATAATATTAAGCTTTGACGCCACCGTTAATAAAGTCAGCCTTTTTGTTGACCACACCCTTAACGGCGCCAAACCCGCCGCTAACCACACCTTCAATGGCCGTCTCAACCCGTTTGATAGCATCAGAGACACCGTCAATACCCTTATGTATGACACCCTTAACACCGCCTACCAGTCCTGCACCGGTAGTAACTTTCGGTACATTGTCTTTGGCACCAGTGATGGTGTCGACGCCCTTATGGATGATGTCTTTCATACCACCAAACAGTCCATCAGTTTTCGGGATTGCATTGTCTTTGGCACCGGTGATGGTGTCGACGCCCTTATGGATCATGTCTTTCATACCACCAAACAGTCCATCAGTTTTCGGGATTGCATTGTCTTTGGCACCGGTGATGGTGTCGACGCCCTTATGGATGATGTCTTTCACACCACCAAACAGTCCTTCAGTTTTCGGGATTGCATTGTCTTTGGCACCAGTGATGGTGTCGACGCCCTTATGGATGATGTCTTTCACACCACCAAACAGTCCATCAGTTTTCTGGATTGCATTGTCTTTGGCACCGGTGATGGTGTCGACCCCCTTATGGATTAAGTCTTTCACACCACCAAACAGTCCATTGCCTGTAGTAGTCTTGGGTTCAGTATCTTTGGCACCAGTGATCACATCCAGGCCTTTATGGGTAACGCCATCGACAGCGTGAGTGATACTACTCATAGCACCGGTAAATGAGTCAAAGAGACCCCTCTTCTCGACGGCCGGTGCGGCCAATGCCAGAGTGCATACCAGTGCCCATACAGTCAACTGTTTCAGCATTTTTGTATAACTTTTAGTTAGTTTTAGAAAATTATTATTTTCTGAATTAACAGTTATTTTTATGAATGAATTTTTACTACAATTTGTGGCGATATTTATACGATTTTTTGGGTACATTATAAATGTGTGTAAAATAGTAATAAATGACCTATCCTAAATTTTCCGTTTATATTTTTTTATTAAACAATACGAAACAACGAATATATTTGATTTATTATAACCGTGGACAAAATTGTTTTTAGTGCAAATTTTTCAGTTTTAAATTTATGTTTATATGAACATGATCAATTAATCAAATATTTAAATCCTTTTTGTATTATTAGTTTATTATTTTATAACAATGCTTTATAAGACTAATTATTTATGCCAGCTGCAAATTATAGCGTCATCTAGCACAATTATAAACATTAATACTGAATGTATAGCATAATCTATAGCACAATATGTCATAATGTAATATTACTGTATATAATAATGTAATTAAATACTTACAAATCGTTAGCCCTGTGACATTCAAGACCAAATATAGACGGAAATGTATGATATACTACTAACGTAAAGACCTTGGTAACAATTTAGTAACAATAAATATGAATAGATCTGTATTTTAAACGGATTCTGATTCTTATTCTGACCGATTTAAATGACATAAAATTTATTGTAATTTTATTAATTAAAACAAATATTAAAAATAAATAAGAATTAAAAATAATAAGATAATAAATATAATTATAGAAAATATATTATTATTTATATTATTATAAAGTTATAATTTTGTTATAGTTTTACGACTGATAAACCGAACCCCATGTATAACTTGCATCCAAAAATTTGATTCATTCAATAGCCAGTTAGTAATGCATGGAATTTTAGGGTATATTACTTGTATAGAAATTTATTTAAATTAGTATTTTAGATTTAAATAATGTTGCTATATGATACAGTATATTAAATGGTTTAAACTATTTAAACCATATTTATTTAATAGGTCACTTAATAAAACTATTTTAAATGTTTAAATATGTTAATTAGTTTAATGAATTATAATATTTTTATTTATTTAACTTTTAATTTGTTATTTACCATAATACAAAAAGATATAACAGGATAACATTAAAAATTTATAAAAATTTAATTTTAATTCCAAAATTTAAATAGAAAAATATTATTAAAAATACAAAACATGTTTAAAGTAAATTTAACGTTAAGCAAACTCATATAAAATTTGTAAATTATACAATAAGATATAAAACAGTGAATTAATTTTGCTGTTTTATATACAGTAATTATTATCTGATTTAACAGGTGTGTTTTGGTAGACGTATAACAGGAACAGGTAATAATGAGCACTCTCAGTTTATACAAAGGATTATTACAACACAAAATACTAACATATGGTAGAATTTATAAGAAAATAAAGTATAAACATTGTTTTAAATATCATGCATAAATTCAAGCCACGTAAACAGTGTTCAGTTTGCGGCGATATAGCTCACGGTAAGATTTATTTACTATATTTATTTAACATTTTGTTATAAAAAGTTATAATTATAATTATTCATGTTTGATATCATTCAAGATCTGAAACTTATAATTCCCACAAAAAACGTTTAGATTATATACATATTGATTGTGTAAATAACCCTTCGTCTATGTGTTGGCCAAAAAAATGCCATATAAAAATATTGTAATTTTAATTATTTTTATAAAATTCCCCAGAAACTGTGGTATATATAATGTTATCCATAATTCGAAAATTCCATTGATTCCCATGCTCCCAGGAGAGAAAATAGAGAGAAATTACAAAAAATACAAGTGGTGGAAAGCAAATTTATTTTGGAAAAATCTTAAAATTTTTATAATTATTTTTAGTGTACATTGTGCATGATTTGTTGAAAAATTATAAACGAATTATTAAAAAAATCTTTAAAATGACATTATGAAACATAGAAGTCAATTACTTTTATAAAGATTTTAATAAATAACAGATTTTCTTGGCATTCATTTAGCGTTACGTCATCTTTTGAGCGGAATATTTAAATTTTGATTAAAAGAATAATTTACAAAATGTTTACAAATAAATTAATTCATAAGATATAATAAATATTTTTCTATATTATACTTAGGTATGTGAAGGTACATGTAATAAACAGAATAAAAGTATTTATATTTATAAATTAATCATCATTGACCACATTTTTGTATTATTTTCTCAATTTCAATATAAAGAATTTTCCGGTGTAAAACTATTTTCTTGAAATATAATTTTTAATAATGGGAAATGGATAACATTAGCTATATAGTGTAATAATTTTATATTTAAAACAAATTGCCTTTTATAAAATAACGATTGCCTGACTCAATATCGGAATCGATATTTTCTTGAAATATAATTTTTAATAATGGGAAATGGATAACATTAGCTATATAGTGTAATAATTTTATATTTAAAACAAATTGCCTTTTATAAAATAACGATTGCCTGACTCAATATCGGAATCGAGTTTACGTTTTATTCTACGTGGCACAATTTTGTAAACGAATTGCTTTTTATCAATATCAAGCCAATTGCAGGAGAAATGGAATTAAATTTTTAAATATAGGTAGGTTTTATTACAAAATTATTTGATTAAGATGCTTATGTTTGATTTAAAACATATTAGTTAAATCAATGGTTATTTAAACCTGTTGTTATTCATAGTAAATAGAATATTATTTATAAAAATCTTGCCATTTTTTATGTTCAAAATTTTTAACATTTATCAGCCAAATTGACCACAGTACAGACCAAGGGTTATTTACACAATCAATATGTATATAATCTATACGTTACTTGTGGGAATTATATACTTCAGAACTTCTCTGTTTGATATAAAACTATTTGTATTTGTAATATTACTAAACATTCAATAGAAAAATATAAACATGATTATATTTTTGGTTTAATAGGCAAACATTTCAACGCAATTACGTGCGAATCGTGTAAAATAATATTTCGCAGAAATGCCTACAAATACGAGACATTATTATGTATTAAAGACAACAATTGTATAATAGATGTGTTGAGACGTAAGGGCTGTAAGAAATGTCGTCTCCGGAAGTGTTTTGCGGTCGGAATGAGAAGAGAGAGGATATTGTCTGAAGAAGAAAGGGGTTTGAGATTAGAGATTATCCGTGAAAACAGATTAAAGAGACAGAAGAGTACTGATATGCAAAAACTTGGTAAAAATCCAAACAATAATAGGGATAACACTGTTGTAATGCATACTAATAATAATAATGAACATGGTAAATTGATTGGAAATGTTTGCCCTTACTCTGCATACCTGGCCGTTGAGAGTTCGCTCAATACATATAATGCATATTTCAATGATATGGAGACCAATAGATTGAGAGAATTGTTTAAAGCGATTAACAGGTATTCGTTGCCAACGATTACATCCGACTATCAATTGGATGTAATCAACAAATACTGCAAAAACATTGTCTCACAGACTGTCGGCAACCAATTGTTGGCCATATTTTTGGAGCAAATTGTCACCAAAAATGTCAACACTTGTAAAGACCTTAAGGCATTTAACGATTTAAGTGACCATGATCAATTATCAATAATTAAATATGGATCAATCGAGATCTGTTTACTACTCTCTGCCCTGTATTTTAACTTTGAATTTGAATACTTAAATCACGAGAATTGCGTTTCAATCAAGATTGATTATTTTCGTAAATTCAAGCATGATAATTATAAAGATTATAAACGGTACGTGTTTGCAAATGTGCTAGCTGATTTATGTGACTGGGATAACCACGTGGTCAATCTGATGATAGCGCTAATACTGTTTAACCCGAATCGTCCGCATCTGATCCATAGGGATGTGATTGAGTTTCAACAACACGTTTACAAACATTTGCTCCAAAAGTATCTTAAATTCAAATACAGATCGGAATACGAGTCGAGCCATAAGTTTGCGAAACTTTTAAATTGTTTACAAAATTTGTATTTTATGAGCGATTTATTTGCAAAAGACTTACTATCGGCCGATACTAACCATAGGATGCCTTTAATGAACGAGATTTGTAATACAAAAGCATATAATTTTATTAAATTGTAAAAGAATTTTAATATATAATATATGTCTTTAATAAAATTAAATTTTAACATTTGCAATGTATGATTTACTAAAAATTATATAAAATAATTATTTTAGTAAGTCTATAAGTAGACTAATTATTTATTTACCCCTTTTAAACGGAAATTGACCACACCTGAAACGTCATGTGAATGAAAAATTTTAATCCGACAATTGACATTGAGCATCATTAATTACAATTATCTTTATTAATTTTCCAAATAGAATAATTTTACAATTATATTGATTATGAATCATAATTTATGATAAACAGTTTGTTGGTAGTATTAGAAAATCAGTTATATAATTTATAAAATCTAATATAAAAATTAATGTCACTTAATTTCTATTTTAATATACTATAATCATAAGCATTATTGTTACAAATCTCGTTCATAAATGGCATCCTATGGTTAGTATCGGCCGATATTAAGGCCTTTGCAAATAAATCCCTAATTGAATGTAAATTATTTAAACAATGCATTAGTTTCTGAAACTTATGGCTCGACTCGTATTCCGATCGGTATTTAAAGTGGAGATACTTTCGGAGCAAATGTTTGTAAACGTGTTGTTGAAACTCAATCACATCCCTATGGATCAGATGCGGACGATTCGGGTTAAACAGTATTATGGCAGCCATCAGATTGAACACGTACCTATCGTATTCCCAAACATGATCTAGCATATTATCAAATATACCATATTTGCAGTCCTGAATGTTACACTTCTTTAATGCGCCAATCATTGCAATATTGATTGGTGTATTAGTCTCGCCGACCAAATGATACTGAATTTGATTTTCCAAATACAGAGCCGATAGTAGCAGGGTCAATTCAATTGAACTAAATTTGGTGATCAAAATTTGATCATGCTGAGTTAGCGCTACAAAGCCATCAAGATGTTTTATTGCGTTGATATGTTTGCGAGTCGTTTGCTCGAGAAATATGGCCAACAATTGTCGGCCGACAGTCTGTGAGACAGTATTTTTGCTGAATTTGTTGATTACATCCAATTGATAGTCGGTTGCAATCGTTGGCAACAAATAACTATTAATTGCTGTAAACAATTCATTCAATCTATTCATCTCCTTATCATTGAAAAACAAACTGTTTGATAGAAATGGCGGATAAATGGTTAACCTGTTAATGTTGCGGCTCTCAACATTAGTATTAGGATCTAGATCATTGCTGTGAATCTTGTAAACGGGTAAATTAATGGCCATATTTTGAATTTTACTCTTTAGTTTGTTTTCATGTATAAGACTTGATCTGAATCTACTCTCCTCTTCAGTCCATATCCTCTCTCTTCTCATTCCGACCGCAAAACACTTCCGGAGACGACATTTGCGGCAATACTTACGACTCAACACATCTATCACACAGTTGTTGTCATAAATACAGTTCAATGACTCGCATGAAATCACGCCATAGTTTTTGCCTAATTATAATTAAATATAAAAATCAAATTAATAAATTTTCTCGTTAAATATATCATTTCAAATAATGTGCCTTTTGCTTTATCGCCACAAACTAAACATTTTTTATTTTCATTATTAATTTCCATGTTTCTTTGACTTAATTTATATAAAAATAGTCATATGATAATAATTATATGCTTACAAACATATAATTATACCTGGAGTACAAAACAATCAGATATTATTTGTAAAATATTATAAAATAAACATATTGTAGTTCTTTACCTGGTGAAAGTTGCATACGTGTGATTACTTAAACAAACAGTATTAATAGAGATATACTGTATTGTACCTGTACTGTATCATGCCTATTTTCATTTACAACATGGCACTTTACTTTTATATTACAATAATTTATCATTTATGAAATAATACAATGTGCGCAAATGTTTAGAGGTTAAAATTGCTATTGTTTTATATTAATAATTATATTAAACAAGAAAATTAAAATTTATTATGTATATTATTATTCTACAGTATGTATAAAATTATTCTGACATGATAAAGTGTTTATTTTTATCATGTATAAATAATCATTATATTTCGGATATAAACATAATTTTAAATAATGTTAAAGCTAATGTGACCAATTTTTAAATTATTATATAAAAATATAAAATATAATATTAATATTTATTAAAATAATATTTAAAAACATTATTTTTTAAAAATATAGCAAAATTTTAAAAATAATTACAAACAATTAGCAAGTTAAGTTTACATAATATTATAATATAACTCATTTAGTTATAATTTACTTGAATATAGTACAAAGTAACTTTTAATAATTAACCAAGTGAACACAAATTTTAAATCAATTGCAAACCTTATTATAAATTATTTATTTTAATATATGACAATCACATGCCTTAGTGTTACAAATCTCGTTCATTAAAGGCATCCTATGGTTAGTATCGGCCGATAGTAAAGACTTTGCAAATAAATCGCTCATTAAATTCAAATTATTTAAACAATGCATTAGTTTCTGAAACCTATCGCTCGACTCGTATTCCAATCGGTATTTAAAGTGAAGATATTTTCGGAGCAAATGTTTGTAAACGTGTTGTTGAAACTCAATCACATCCCTATGTATTAGATGCGGACGATTCGGGTTAAACAGTATTAGCGCTATCATCAGATTGACCACGTGGTTATCCCAGTCACATAAATCAGCTAGCACATTTGCAAAAACGTACCGTTTATAGTCTTTATAATTATGATGTTTGAATTTACGAAAATAATCAATCTTGATCGAAACGCAATTTTCGCGATTTAAATATTCAAATTCAAAGTTAAAATACAGGGCAGAGAGTAGTAAACAAATCTCAATTGATCCATATTTAATCATTGATAATTGATCATGGTCACTTAGATCGTTGAATGCCTTAAGGTCTTTACATGTGTTGACATTTTTGGTGACAATTTGCTCCAAAAATATGGCCAACAATTGGTTGCCGACAGTCTGTGAGACAGTATTTTTGCAGTATTTGTTGATTACATCTAATTGATAGTCGGATGTAATCGTTGGCAACGAATACCTGTTAATCGCTTTAAACAATTCACTCAATCTATTGGTCTCCATATCATTGAAATACATGTTAGTTGTATTGAATGGGAATTCAATGACCAGGTATGACGAGTCCGGCAAACTATTGGCATCAATTATACCTTGATCATTGTTATTATCGCACGTTATAAAAGTGTCTATGTCATCGTAGTTATTATCATCTATGTTTATATTATTATCAATATTCTTTGTTTTTGAAACCATTTGTTTCTTTAATCTGTTTTCATGTATAAGACTTGATCTCAAAGTCTTCTCGTCTTCAGTCCATATCCTCTCTCTTCTCATTCCGACCGCAAAACACTTCCGGAGACGACATTTGCGGCAATACTTACGACTCAACACATCTATCGTACAGTTGTTGTCATAAATACAGAGCAATGACTCGTATTTGTGGGCATTTCTGCGAAATAGTGTTTTACACGATTCGCATGAAATCGCGCCATAATTTTTCCCTAATTTATTACATGATTGGGAAAAATGTATAATTTTTAATAGTAAAAGGTTTTTATTACTATTTTTTTATTAAATATTAGTAAAATTTAGTTTACCTCTAGCTTTGTCTCCACAAACTAAACAATTGTAATAATTTTCATAATTTGTTTCCATATTTATCTAAATAATTTATAAATAATATTTTAATTACACTTTTAATCGAGATTATTTATTAAACATATTGTATTTCTTTACCTTATAGGATTTGTAAACGTGGGATTTTAACTTACATTATGTAAATTGTTCACAACAACATTAACAGAGATTTAACATTGTAATATTAGTTAATATAATGCTTATTTTCATCAACAAAATGTTATTTTTATATTACAATAATTTATCATTAATTCCAGTAATATCTTATATCAATTGTTTACAGAATAAATTCGCACTTGTTTTATATTATTAATAATATAAAATAATTCTGACATGATAAAAGTAATTATTATGCTCCGGAATACAAATAACAATTAATTATAAATTAAGTTCAAGCAGACGTATAGTACAACTACATACAAATATAAAACATAATAAACCGTAATACTTTATATAAAATATTTTAATTGTGTTAAGTTTATTTAAGAAGTGCTCATTTATTAAGAATTTAAGTAATTTAAATTATCATATACTTTATAAAAGTTTATATTTGTGTATATTTATAAAATTGAATATTTAAGATAATTAAATGATTAATTAAAATATAATTATTTTAATATGTTATATAAAAATAAAAATGTGGATAAATGTTTGGTTTGCGGTGGAAAAGCAAGAGGTAAATTGATTGTCATGTATAAACATTTAATATCATAATACTAATAATTTGATGCAATTTCAATCTACGTAATTATTTAGGCAAGAACTATGGGGCCATATCATGCGAGTCATGCAAATGTTTATTTCGTAGAAATGCCCACAAATACGAGACATTGAACTGTATTTATGACAACAACTGTGCGATAGATGTGTTGAGTCGTAAGTATTGCCGCAAATGTCGTCTCCGGAAGTGTTTTGCGGTCGGAATGAGAAGAGAGAGGATATGGACTGAAGACGAGAGGGCTTTGAGATCAAGTCTTATACACGAAAACAGAGTAATAAAACAAATGTCATCAAAAACACAGAATGTGGTCAATTCAAACATCAATATTGCTAATTACAATATGGTCAGTATTGAGTCTAATGATCATGATAATTCTATCAATATGGATAACCAAATTTGCCCAACTATTGGCCGGCCTTTTAATACAAACAACTCATTTTTCAATGATATGGAGACCAAGAGATTGATTAAATGGTTTAAAGCGGTTCACAGCTATTCGTTGCCAACGATTACATCCGACTATCAATTGGATGTAATCAACAAATTCAGCAAAAATACTCTCTCACAGACTGTCGGCCGACAATTGATGGCCATATTTTTGGAGCGACTTCTCATGAAAAATGTAAAAGTTGCCAAAAGTATTGATGCATTTGTGTGTCTACCTGAGCATGATCAAATATTGCTTATTAAATATGGTAGCATTGAATTATGTATGTTATTAAAGGCGCTGTACTTTGAAAATAACATTAATTATCATTCAGTTCACGGAGAGTATACACACAGTAGTGTCTCAAACAATACTACATTGTATCAGACGTTGAGAAACATTTATAATGGTAAACATAGTATATTAGATGGTATAATGGATAATGTTTGGGAACATGACTGCACAGTGTCTACACTAATGTCCGCTATAATTATATTTAACCCGAATCGTCCGCATCTGATCCATAGGGATGTGATTGAGTTTCAACAACACGTTTACAAACATTTGCTTCAAAAGTATCTCCACTTTAAATACCAATCGAAATACGAGTCGAGCCATAAGTTTCAGAAACTAATAAATTGTTTAAATAATTTGCATTTTATGAGTGATTTGTTTGCGAAAGACTTACTATCAGTCGATATTAAACATAGGATGCCTTTAATGAATGAGATTTGTAACAATAATGTTTATAATTATAGTATACTAAAGTAATTTTTGTAATCTTACCATTTACATTTGTTTGGTAGGAACATCTTTATGAAAATTAAAATTAATTAATTAAAAACATTTTACTTTATTGTGACAATTAAAAATGTTATACCATTATAAAAATATACTAATTTATCATGTTAAATATTAGTGATTATTGAGTATTAATTACAATGGGTTAAATTAATTAATTATAATAATAACCTTCACCATAGTGTTTTCATCTAAAACTGACAAAATAAACCAGTTTCAAGGCATACTGTGAATCTGTATGTGGCAATACTAAAAGAGATTAATAATTTAAAACATTTGTGCATTAAATATATTGACATTGTTTAAAAAAATAAAGGTAGAGAATCATGTAATATATGAAAAAATACTTATAGTTTTTAAATATTTCTATTGTTGTTAGATAATATAAAACGTGTAGTATATTCATGGTAACAAAAGTACTAGCAATATGTTAATTTTATAATTAAATAAATTGCTAATTAAAACATAAATAAGTTTTGGTTTACCAAAATTATTATTACAAATGTTATTTAAATAATGTTTATAAATTTAATTAACAAATATGGAAAATAATGAAAAATGTTTAGTTTGTGGCGACAAAGCGAGAGGTAATTTTATTATTAATTATATTTAACAATTCTAACAACTTTAACAATGATAATTAGTATACAACTTATATAACTCGTTAGTAACTCATTAATGTAATTATAATTAGGCAAAAACTTTAACGCGATTTCATGCGAATCGTGCAAAAAATTATTTCGTAGAAATGCCCACAAATACGAGTCATTGAACTGTATTTATGACAACAACTGTACAATAGATGTGTTGAGCCGTAAGTATTGCCGCAAATGTCGTCTCCGGAAGTGTTTTGCGGTCGGAATGAGAAGAGAGAGGATATGGACTGAAGACGAGACGAGTTTGAGATCAAGTCTTATACAGGAAAACAGATTAAAGAGAAAAATGGCATCAGATCTAAAAAATATTACAATTAAGGCAAATGTTAATAAGTATATTTACAATATGGTTCGCATTAAACGTAATGACCATGATCATAATATTGTAACGGGCCCCCAGCGGGCCCTCCTGTGGGGTCGTCCCCACCCGAGATCGCCGACACTCTCACACCCACACACACACAGCTCGCACTCTACACACATACCTTTTTATTCAATAATTAGTCACCGGGATGAAATCAAACAATTTATTGAAAGCCAACGAAAACCATACAACAGGAGCCCACGAGTGCCACCAGCGATCTGAGGAGAGATGGGTTGAGCGCCGCATCTCTCCTCTCTGTGTTGTGACGTCTCTCCATTCTCATCACCATATATGGTATGGAATGCGAGAATACGTCACAACACAGCAACACTCAGTTGCAATATGTATGCTGAAGGCCGGAACGTTATCGGGATAAGTATTGACCGGCCATTTAATTCAAGTAATTTGATTTTCAATGATATGGAGATGAATAGATTGAGTGAATTATGTAACGCTAGTAATTGTTATCCAATGCCAACGATTACATCCGACTATCAATTGGATGTAATCAACAAATTCAGCAAAAATACTGTCTCACAGACTGTCGGCCGACAATTGTTGGCCATATTTCTCGAGCAAATTGTGCGCAAAAATATCAAAATTTCTAAACTTATTGATGGTTTTGTAAGTCTAACTGACCATGATCAATTACTGCTTATGAAATACGGCACTATTGAATTATGCCTATTATTGTCGGCTATGTATTTGGAAAATAAAGTGGAAATTTTTCCACTCGATCTCAAGTTCAACGCGAATAATCATGTATCAGTTAATACAATGCTGTTTTTAGCATTAGGCAAATGCAATATTCACGATATTAAGCATGGAATATTATCAAATATTCTAGATAATGTTTGGGAATACGACAGAAACGTGGTCTATTTGATTGCCATGATAATACAGTTATTGGGCTTAGCAGGCGTAGACTAGGTATCCCTACACTAACTCAAAGTTGTTGTGCAAATGTTTGTAAACGAGGCTTTCATAGAGGTGAAATTTATGGCTAGCCTTATGCTCAGCTCGGAATTCTTTAATAAACTAATGAATTGTGTAAATCATTTGAATTTAATGAGAGATTTGTTTGCCAAGACCTTACTATTGGCTGATAGTAACCATAGGATGCCTTTAATGAACGAGATTTGTAGTAATAATGCTTATAATTATCATATATTTAAGTCATTATAAATGAAATTATAATTGAGCTTAATTATCAATTTGTGTATTACGTTTAATAGTATATACAGTATCATGAATGCTTAATTTGTTTATTACAACTGTTTATTACAAAATTAATACAATAATTACAAAATCGGAAATACAACATATTATTACACAAAACAAATATTTTTAAAATGTTTTAAAAATTACACTTTGTCATTGTTCACTTAAAAATTATTATATGTTCTAATTAAATCTGTTTTACTGTTGCCAAGGATAAAATACTATTTTTAAAAAAAATCAATCATAGACTATTTTACGTTATATTATAAAATTCTAATACAAAATACGCTCTAAATAGCATAAAACTAATAGATATCATGATTAATTTGTAAAATATGTTCAATGTAAATGTTCAAAATTCATTTGTATTATGAGAGTAAATTGCATTGAATAGTTACAATTATTAATAAAAAAATTACATTGTAAAGAAGAATTGTGTTTAAACTAATGTTGTACAATCTTTACAATTTTTATAAATTTATACTAGCTGTGTTTAAGTTAACTGTGCCCTAGATTAAGCAGTTTATAAAGCATAAAATTGGATATATTAAATTAAATATCAATATAATTTAATAGAAATTAACAAATTTTATCTACATCATTAATAATAATAAAATATAAAACTTTTAATTGTAATTAACGAAATATGGAAAATATTTATGTAAATAATGATAAATGTTTAGTTTGCGGCGACACAGCGAGAGGTAAATTAAATTCACTTGTATTTGACAAACAATAATAAATTTAGTAATAAAATTGCTAATTGTTTATAATAATGCTAATTAGGCAAAAACTATGGCGCGATTTCATGCGAGTCGTGTAAAACATCGTTTCGTAGAAATGGCCACAAATACGAGTCAAACTTGACATAAATACTGTTGTTGACATGTTATCTACACAACTCGGCATTCATAACGGCGTTTACAGCAGAGGCCTTCACAAAACGCCAGCCTTACTCTTCTCTCTCCTATACCTGACTTCTGCTCTCGAGTTTAAGACCAAGTCTTATACAGAAAAACAAACTAAAGAGAAAAATTCAAAATATACAAAATATGGAAATTAATTTACCCGTTTACAACATTCCCAGCAACGATCTAGATCCAAATACTAATGTTGAGGGCTGCAATATTAACATTTTAACCATTTATCCGTTATTTCTATCAAACAATTTGTTTTTCAATGATAAGGAGATCAATAGATTGAATGAATTGTTTAAAGCGGTTAATAGTTATTCGTTGCCAACGATTACATCCGACTATCAATTGGATGTAATCAACAAATTCAGCAAAAATACTGTCTCACAGACTGTCGGCCGACAATTGTTGGCCATATTTCTCGAGCAAATCGTCCGCAAAAATGTGAACGTTGTAAAATGTATTGACGCGTTTGCCTGCCTGACTGAGCATGATCAAATAATTCTTATTAAGTACGGCATGATTGAAATGTGCATGATACTATTGGCCCTGTTATTTGAAAATAAGATTAAATATGGTAGGGCCGGCCCGGATAGCAGTCCTACAATCAATAAACTATTGTTTCAGGCGCTTAGAAGTTGTAATATTCAAGATTGCAAACGTGGTTTATTTGAATACGTTCTGGATAATGTATGGGAATACGATAGAAACGTGGTCAATTTGATTGCCACTATAATCCTGTTTAACCCGAATCGTCCGCATCTGATCCATAGGGATGTGATTGAGTTTCAACAACACGTTTACAAACATTTGCTCCGAAAGTATCTCCACTTTAAATACCAATCGGAATACGAGTCGAGCGATAGGTTTCAGAAACTAATGATTTGTTTAAATGATTTGCATTTTATGAGAGATTCCTTTACGAAAGCATTACTATCGGCCGATACTCAGCAAAGGATGCCTTTAATGAACGAGATTTGTAGTAATAATGCTTATAATTATCATATTTTAAAATAAATTCAAATGCAATTATACTTGAAATTATTAATTTTTATGTTATTTAAATATAATTAAAACGAGATTTTATAAATAGGATTTTATTGTATTTTTAAAATTATTTAAATGACATGTGTTTTAGTCTATATTGATTATTTATTGGTTTGTTTTTAAATATTAAAAAAATATAAAACATAACATTAATTAACATCTGAATTAAGGCAATTAATTAAGCACATTCAGCTCTCTCTCTCTCTCTCTCTCTCTCTCTCTCTCTCTCTCAGTATAAAATAATAACACGGTTACCAATATTGGCTTAATATAAACTTACTTTTTAGTGCTCATTACGTCAATTTGTTATACATGATTTATTATAATATAAATTGCGTATAAATTTTTCAAGGCAACAATAAAATATTTTATTAAACAAGTATCAAAATAATAACTAAATAATACAATAGTTACTAAATCTCACATAGAATATATGCAACATAAAACTGCCGTGTTTGTTATTTATGTTAAATGAATCACGGTTATTTTTAGTTAATTAATAATTTGTTTATTTATCAATGCATAATATGCAACATTGTGATAATTGTTTAGTTTGCGGCGCTACAGCCAGAGGTAAATTGAATTTTATATACAGTAATTTATATTAAGATTAAAGAAATTTTATTTACAATTATATTTTTATTTCTTTCATGTAATAAATTAGGCAAAAACTACGGCGCGATTTCATGCGAATCGTGTAAAACAATATTTCGTAGAAATGCCCACAAATACGAGACATTGAACTGTATTTATGACAACAACTGTACAATAGATGTGTCGCGACGTAAGTATTGCCGCAAATGTCGTCTCCGGAAGTGTTTTGCGGTCGGAATGAGAAGAGAGAGGATATGGACTGAAAACGAGACGAGTTTGAGATCAAGTCTTATACAGAAAAACAGATTAAAGAAACAAATGGCGCCAAAAATACAGAATGTGGTCAATTCATACGTTAAGAATGCTAATTACAATATGACTCGTATTGAGTATAATGATCATGATAATTCTACCGATCTAGATCACCCCAACACTATTAGCCTAACAATTAGACGGCCTTTGAATGCAAACAATTTGTATTTCAATGATATGGAGATGAATAGATTGAATGAATTATGTATAGCTGTTAACAGGTATTCGTTGCCAACGATTACATCCGACTATCAATTGGATGTAATCAACAAATTCAGCAAAAATACTGTCTCACAGACTGTCGGCCGACAATTGTTGGCCATATTTCTCGAGCAAATTGTGCGCAAAAATGTAAACGTTGTTAAATGTATCGACGCGTTTGCCTGTCTGACTGAGCATGATCAAATAATTCTCGTTAAGTACGGCATGATTGAAATGTGCATGTTACTATCGGCTCTGTATTTGGAAATTCAAATTCCATACCCATTCAAATTCAATAAATCATTGTTTGGCGCATTAAAACAGTGTAATATTCATGATTGCAAACGTGGTATATTTGACACCACCGTTGATAATAAATGGGAATATGATAGAAACGTGGTCAATTTGATGGGAGCTATTTTGGAACTTAACCCGAATCGTCCGCATCTGATCCATAGGGATGTGATTGAGTTTCAACAACACGTTTACAAACATTTGCTCCGAAAGTATCTCTACTTTAAATACCGATCGGAATACGAGTCGAGCCATAAGTTTCAGAAACTAATGCATTGTTTAAATAATTTGAATTTAATGAGCGATTTGTTTGCAAAAGCCTTGCTATCGGCCGATACTAACCATAGGATGCCTTTAATGAACGAGATTTGTAGTAATAATGCTTATAATTATAGTATACTAAAGTAAATGGAGAAAACAATATAAGTAGTACTTATTAAGTACTTGCTGTACATTAATTGTTAATTATTTTTTGCGAAATTATAATTAATTAGTCTGAAAAGACTTGTTGATTACATTTTAACAAGAAGAGTTGTTATTTCTATACTATATTCATTAAGGTATTGCAAGTTTGATATAAATTTTTTAAATAAAGTTAATTTATTTAAAATTATAATTTAAAAATAGATTTTATGAATTAATTTTTACATTATTTTGCTAGATTTATATCAATGAAATGTTCACTTAAATGTAAGTGTTTTACTATAATCAGTGATTTATCGTCTTGTTTTTGTTAAAACATAAAATATATATTTTGTAAGTTTCTATAATAGTAAATTAACATCTGAATTTGTGTAATTAATCGATTTAATCTCTCAAGGAGAGTATTAATCACAATATACTAAAACCAATATCAATGTCAGATTAATTTATACTTGGTACTTATTTTATTTAAAATAATTTTTAAATATATCTAGCATGCGATACTTTTTTGAAATGTAAAAAAATAAAATATTTTATTAAATCAAATAAATATTAATTACAACATTATAGTTACTTAATATTTACCTGACTTAATACTATGTTTATCTGACAGAGAACTCTATTATTTGTTGTTATTCATGTTTATATTTAAATTGATATCGGTAATCTCAAGGTAATAATTGTGAAACTTAAAAACACAATATGGAAAATAATGACAAATGTTTAGTTTGTGGAGACAAAGCGAGAGGTAAATTGAATTTTGCATTTAATAAATTATTTATACAATAAAATTTTTATATCAATATTTTATTAATATTTATAAAATATTATAAATAAATTATTAATAATAATTAATCAGGAAATAATTACAACGTGTTATCATGCGATCCGTGTAAATGTGTCTTTAAACGAAATGCACACAAATACGAGTCATTGCTCTGTATTTATGACAACAACTGTGCAATAGATGTGTTGAGCCGTAAGTTTTGCCGCAAATGTCGTCTCCGAAAGTGTTTTGCAATCGGAATGAGAAAAGAGATGATATTGTCTGAAGACGAGAAAACATTGAGGTTGGATCTGATCCAAGAAAACAGACGCAACAGACAGTCCACTGCCGATACACAGCTGCGGACGAGTCAATCAACCACTCCTGAGACCAATGATATTAATACCGTATTGACTGACAATAAGCAAAAACATAGTGAAAATGATTACAGCATAATCTCACTTTCCATTGAGCGACCGATCGCTAATTATCTATACATTTATTTTAATGATATGGAGACTAAACGATTGAGTGAATGGTTTAACGCGATTAACAGCTATTCGTTGCCAACGATTACATCCGACTATCAATTGGATGTAATCAACAAATTCAGCAAAAATACTGTCTCACAGACTGTCGGCCGACAATTATTAGCTATATATTTAGAGTTAATTGCCCGCAAAATGGTCAAGGTATTATCAAGTATAGATTGCTTTGTAAGCCTAACTCAGCATGACCAAATTACAATCATTAAATACGGCGCGATTGAATTGTGCATGGTATTGTCGGCCCTGCATTTTGAAAATAATATTAAATATTATAGGACCAGCTCGGTGTATAATTCTGCAATCGTTGGGCTGTTATTTCAAGCGCTAAGAAACTGTAATACAGTAGATTGTAAACATGGTATATTTAATAATGTTCTGGACAATGTTTGGGAGTACGATTGGGGCGTGGTCAGTTTGTTGATCATTATAATTATGTTATTGGGCTTAGCAGGCGTAGACTAGGTATCCCTACACTAACTCAAAGTTGTTGTGCAAATGTTTGTAAACGAGGCTTTCATAGAGGTGAAATTTATGGCTAGCCTTATGCTCAGCTCGGAATTCTTTCAGAAACTAATAAATTGTTTAAATAATTTGCATTTATTGAGCCATTTGTTTACGAAAGCCTTATTATCGGCCGATACTAATCATAGGATGACTTTACTGAACGAGATTTGTTGTAATAATGCTTATAATTATCGTATATTTAAGTAATTATAAATGAAATTATAATTGAGCTTAATTATTCATTTATGTATTACTTTTAATAGTTAATAACATAGATGTGTAATTATACACACTTGTTACAAAACTAAATTAATACAATAATTACAAAATTGAAAATACAACATAATATTATTATGATTATTTTTACCCAAAAAAATTGTTTTTAAAATTTTTAAAAAATCAAATACTGTACAAATTAAATACTGACAATGTCATTTTTCACTTAAAACTTATTATATTTTCTAATTTAATCTATTTTACTGTTGCCAAGGTTAAAATACTATTTTTGCAAAATAAATCATAAATTATTTTACGTTATGTTATAAATATGATAAATTTCTATTACAAAATACAATTCTAAATAGCTTTAAACACATGGATATTATGATTAATTTGTTATTTCTACAATATGCTCAATGTAATTGTTTAGAATTAATTTATATTATGAAAGTAAATTACGGTTCAAAAGTCAGTTCAAAATATAAACAAGTTGTAAATAAAAATACAATATTATAAATATTTACAAATTATTACAGTCCAACTTCTCTTGGGTGAACTTCTCTTGGATGAACACCTCCCTTAGATGAACGGGTTTGAAATAAATTTTGGATTTTCTATACCTATAACAGAACCTCCCTTGGATGAACCCTCCCTATAATAAACACTTTTGTCGTGCAACTGGCCGTTCATTATGGAGAAGTTGGACTGTATTTACTATTAAAAACCGTAAACTTACGATAATTAATATTTTAACTAAATGGGAGTGCACACATAAAAACTACGTTATTTTTTTTAATGTTAATCCTAAATACCGTTTATTAAAATAGTATAAATTTTATTTTAATGCCAATAATATATTTATCATGTTCTGAATTTATGTTATTCTCGTATTATTCTTAATAAATTTTCATATAACGACATTAAGATAAGTTTAGTTTAATTGAATGAATTAAATATTTTAACGTAAGGTTATTATATCATTTAAAATGCTACTATTAAACTAACTATAACTAACTATATAACATGTTAGGCTTAAAAGTAATTCTACCTTTATATTTCTAACATTTGTTAGCAAATTCATAGTAATAATACATAGATATAATTAATTAATATTTTCCAACTATATTTTGTGATACTTCATTGAGTAAAATATTAATTGTTTCATCTGTGTAAATGTATTTGCAAAATATTTTAATACAATAAATGTAAAACGTGTATAAATCTCGACAATGAAAAGTGATGCAAAGTTATGTTTATTTTATAATCTAGATGTAATAGTTAGTAAATTTTTAATATATATTTAATTAAATATCAATATAAAATAAATTGATTTCAACAACATTTATGTACATGATTAATAATTAATACAATTAAAGTAATACTTTTAATTTTAGTCAACAAAATATGAAATATATTAATGTAAATAATGACAATTGTTTAGTTTGCGGCGGCAAAGCGAGAGGTAAATTAAATTTAGTTGGAATTAACAAAAAATATATATTAATGAAATTGATAATTACTTATAATAATGCTAATTTAGGCAAAAATTATGGCGCGATTTCATGCGAATCATGCAAAACATCATTTCGTAGAAATGCCCACAAATTCGAGACATTGATCTGTATTTATGATAACAACTGTACGATAGATGTGTTGAGTCGTAAGTATTGCCGCAAATGTCGTCTCCGGAAGTGTTTTGCGGTCGGAATGAGAAGAGAGAGGATATGGACTGAAGAGGAAAGTAGTTTGAGATCAAGTCTTATACAGGAAAACAAATTGAAGAGAAAAATGACATCAAAAGTACATAATGTGGTCAATTCAAACGTTCGTGAGATTATGTACAATATGGTAAATAATAAACATCAAGATAATAATCTTAATACGGCTAATGAAGACCCAAACATTATCCTCGTAACCATCAACAGACCCATCGGTTCAAGCAATTTGTTTTTCAATGAAATGGAAATGAATAGATTGAGTGAATTATATAAAGCAATTTTTTGTCAACAATTTTTAACGATTACATTTTGAATCGTAAATTGTGGTGTTAATTGGATGTAATTAACAAATTCAGCAAAAATACTGTCTCACAGACTGTCGGCCGACAATTATTAGCTATATATTTAGAGTTAATTGCCCGCAAAATGGTCAAGGTATTATCAAGTATAGATTGCTTTGTAAGCCTAACTCAGCATGACCAAATTACAATCATTAAATTGAGCAAATTGTCCAGCAAACTATATTTCTCGAGCAAATTGTCCGCAAAAATGTTAAAACTGCAAAATGTATTTACGGTTTTGTAACTTTAACTGACCATGATCAATTAGTGCTCATGAAGTACAGCACAATTGAAATATGTCTGCTATTGTCGGCTATATATTTGGAAAATAATGTTGAAAATCCTAATCTCGTTGCAAATAGTAGTTTATCAGTGAATTCAATGCTATTTATAGCTTTAGGAAAATGTAATATTTACGATATTAAACATGGGATATGTTCAAATCTACTAGATAATGTATGGGAATACGATAGAAACGTGGTCAATTTAATGGCAACCATAATACAGTTTAACCCGAATCGTCCGCATCTGATCCATAGGGATGTGATTGAGTTTCAACAACACGTTTACAAACATTTGCTCCGAAAGTATCTCCACATCGGAATACGAGTCAAATATAAAGTTTCAACAACTAATGGATTGTTTAAATAATTTAAATTTAATGAGCGATTTGTTTGTAAATGCCTTATTATCGGCCGATACTAATCATAGGATGCCTTTAATGAACGAGATTTGTAGTAATAATGCTTATAATTACAGTATATTAAAGTAAATAAATATATTAGAAATTAATAAAGTTATAATACTTTTGGTTTTAGTTAAATAATAACAAAAATACATCAACGGATGTAATATTTAAAATATATATTTGTTTTTACATTAAACTTGTAAATGAAACTATTTTTAATTTTTAAAACAATTTATCATTATTATTTTTAAATAAAAAATTTTACAATTAAATTTGTTTTACTGTTACCAAGGAAAATAAAGTAGTTCTACACATTCACGATAGTTGTAAGTTAGTTGTAAATTGTGAGTTATATCTTCACAATTCTATAACATAAACTTTATAAAATTATAATACATAAACACACAATCTAACACAAACTCTTTAAACACATGGTTAAATGTTAAACACATGTATATCAATTACCTATTTATTTTTAAAGTAAACTCAAAATAAATGTTGCAGCTCAATTTAAATATGAAATATTTTTATCAAGTTTTTATTTATTTGTTATAACTTATTATTTTAAACGTAAACCATATTTAATAATAATTTAATAAAATGGTTAAATATGTAATTGTTATATTAGATAAGTTACTTAATTTAGTTCATACAATTGATTTAATAATAATGATAATATAATATTATTTTAGTGTAATTTTTAAACTAAAAATTCATAGTAAATACTAAAACTAATTATAGTTAAATACCCAACCATTAACAGGTTTAGCAGTCATTAGCTTATCATTACACAAATACTTAGGTCTTAATCCGGATCCGTGTTTACCATGACTTACATCAAGCGATTGCGGAAATACATTAAAAACGGCACAATTTTGCCGCTTATTTACGACACGCTTTTGACATACTTTTAGGGTTAGATCAATGCAGACATCGGACAGGTATAGGATAGTGAAACCAAACCATAGGCTGGATATACTGGCGATATAGCAGAAAAACTCATCCGGGGTAATTTGGGGGATATGTTTATAGACATAGGTGGGCACCGATGGGAACAGTACGCCCAGAGAGTACTCCTGATCATATAGATTATTGTTCGCCATTGAACAGGTAGTACTCGTCGGAACAGTCGGGCGATTGGCCGCAGTGGCGGACACACTCGCCGGACAGCCGGGCGTCCATTCGGGACCAATTGGCGTACGGACTGAACTTGTATTGCGGGTACGCTTTGTAGGCGAGATACTGACCCGGATAATGACCGGTGGTGTTTATCTGTCGGTCTATTTTGCACTGCGCTATGCAATCAAAACGCGATTCCCAAAGTGTATCCACCTTGTAATTTATGCACCCGGTGCTATAGGGTGGGGGCAGTAATAGCACCCAGGACTTTGTGTACTCAATAAGCATCTCGTGTTTAGGTTGAATAAACACCCGCTTATAACCATGCTCTTTGTCGTCGTGCAGGGCTCGGCTCCGGGTGTGTATATGGATGTCCACGTACTTCATGGCCACCGGGAACTCCATCTCTACCATCATTCTCTGGTCGCTGCGGACGTTGACGTCATAGTCGATGTGATACATGTCCTGAGACTCGCCCCCAATCTGCGAGAATAACGTTAAACAGTAGTAATATCTGCTCAATGAGTGCCTGTATTTGGCAACCAATGAACAGTTGACGTATGTGTGGTCATCGGCGGCCACATCGGGTGGTGTCAGCCCTATAGGCCGGTAGACGAGACAGCGTTTGGTTAACAGGTGTCCCAATTGTCTTAGTTGTCGGATCTGATCGGCGATCGACATGTTGTTCAATATGTAAAACTCTTTGAAATGTTTCTCACTTTCGGTGATGTTTTGGTCAGAAATGTGTGGCAATCGGTGTCTCAAAAGGTGTTGTTTTTCAATGCATAGACTAATGGCTGGCAATGAGACGAACAGCTCTTTCTCTATCATAACGTTTGTCGTTGTGTTGAATGAAAAGTAAAATAAACACATATTGTATGTTTGGTATACAAAACCCATTAAACCGATGATCCGGATTAGTATACATGATTTAATCTTAAATATGTTGAATGCCATTATTAAGCTAGCTTAATGTTTGATGTTTATAAGAGTTAATACTTTACTTTACTGTATCTTTTATATTCACTTAAATATGTTTAATCGATTGTTAAATCAATAACATTCAACAAAACCAATAAATTTAATTAAAATAATTTAACTATGTTGACTACCTACAATATGGTAAACAGAAAGTGTCACAGTAATTTGTAAATAAAACAATTTTCACAATATTGTTCTACTTTCTATTGTGCACAACTTAAATAATTAATAATTCAACCATGAGCTGAACTTATGTACAGTGCTGTATTATTAGTTATTATTATGTTTAAATGTACTGTACTTTATATGTTCTAGATATAAACCATGGAAATCACTACATTATGTATTATTGTATTTAATACAATGTATTTTACAGTTAATTTCATAAACTGTTTTATATTGAATTGTTAATTACTTTTAACCAATATAAATCTATGTCTCATTGTCAAAGCAGACATAATTGATCATGAACAACATTGCTAAACATTCTAGTAAAGTAACAAACCACTAACATGTTTAATAATTCACACATGTTGTATAGAAAGTCCGGCTTTGGGACATTTTTTCCCATACGATTAACACTGTTCCGGCTTTGGGACAATTTGACCCATAAAATTAACAATAATCCTGCTTTGAGACAATTTTATCAATAAGATTAACATTAGTCCGGCTCTAAGACAATTTTAGTATAAAATAGTAGTCATAATCTCTATACTGCATGCATTTAATTAATGTTAATTTTAATGAATTATAAAAGTTGTTATAAATATCAAACTATTAATAATAATCAAATAATTTTTGTGTTATTGTACTACTGGTCACTAACAGATATATTAACATATATTTAATTACCAAAAAATCATAATGTTATATAAGTAAATGAAGTTTAAAAAATCAATAAATTTTGAGGTTTCGAAACAAAAATTTGAATACTAACATATGTCATGCTAATTGCAAATTTTCGTTCTGACTAATAAAAAAATAGGTGAAACAATAATTATAAGCAAAGTTCTCAGCTAGGTTAGGTTAGGTGAGAGTCGCTAGCGAACAGCGCAGAGACTCTAACCTAACCTAACCTAGCTGAGAAACAGGTTAACTGTTTTAATTCAGTAATTACAAACTTAACAATAAGCATATGTATATTATATTTCTCACAAATAAATTGGAACTGCATACTAAAAACATTGACAGTTGGAATAAATATTATTGACTGAGAACATGGATCAAAATGAATTATTTAAACAATTAATGAAAGAAGTGAAATATAGACTCAAAACCTTTGATAATAATAGCAATAAATTTCCAATTCCAATTGAACAAACAGCAAAAGCTGGTTTCTTTTATGTTAGAGAAGATATTGTACAATGTGCATTTTGTTCTGGAATGCTTGGCGGCTGGAAGCCCACTCATAATCCATATGATGAACACAACCGTTATTATCCATATTGTCCATTTATGTTGGGCATTAGTTCCACAACATTAATAAAATTCAATTCTATTTCAAATGACCTTGGAATAATTATTCATCAAATCGCTACACATCCCGAATATTCAACTATAGAAGAAAGAATTGCGTCATTTAAAAATTGGTCTAGCATAAATCCAATTAAACCGACAGATCTAGCAACAGCAGGGTTTTATTATACTGGAATTGAAGATAATGTTCTTTGTTTTTACTGTGGTATTTGTTTACATAATTGGGAGCCTAATGACCAACCACTGATTGAACATACAATATATTATCCAGCATGCAATTTTTTAAAATTAATAAATTATATTAGTAAAAGAAAGTGTAAACCAGATAATGAGTTATGTAAAATTTGTTATGCGAATACTATTGAAACACTTATAATGCCCTGTGGCCATCAATATTGTTGCATTGATTGTACTTTACGTATCGAAAATTGCTCATTATGTAGAAAAGAAATAAATGCATTTGTTAAAACAACTTTTCAAAATGAATAGTATCAATTATGATATACTTGAAAATAATTGTGTCAG